AAAAATTATATAAATGCTATAAAACAAACAAACAAACACACAAACACACACACAAACAAACAAACAAACAAAGAGGCTAGTGTGGTCCTTCCAATAAGTCCCTTCTTGCTTCTTTGGGTTTCTATTCTTAGGGAGTTCATCACTGGGAATAGTCTTTGAAAGCATATAGCCTTATCACTTCCAGTTCATTCTCTGTGCTTCCTTTGTGGCCTTGAAGACATGATCTCTCAACTTCCTGATCTAGCTTCTTGCTGTGATGTCTTTCCCACCATTATAGACTCTCTCTGGAACTGTATGCCCAAATGAATTCTTTAGTAAGTTGCTTGTGCTCATAGTCTTTTATCACAGCAACAGCATTGTAACCAACACAGTAGCTGAGAGGAGATTAAACATTTCAAGTTCCTCTCAACTTTTTGAAAGATTTTCCTATTTGTTACACTGGCAGTGGTTTAAGGTGACACTGTTTTCGCAATGAGAAATCAGAGCAGTGGTAAGTTGTTGTTTTTTTTTTTTCTCAGTAAACATTTATTTAATCATCTCTATTCTCCACTAAATTGTGCACTCCTGGGGAACTCATAGCCCATGGAAAACAAGACAAATAAATCAGTAACTTAAAATTTTAGTGAGTAGAATGACCAGGGCAAGCAAAGAGCATTGTGGAAAAGCCAAAATGGGGAGTCAAAATGTGACCGCCATGATGGTCAAGATTCTCCACCACACACTGACAGCTTTGATGTGTACCTTATTGGCTGATATATTGAGATGGAAAGAGGAACGTCTCAGACAAATTTTAAATTGCAAGTTAAATCAAAAGACTATGAACTCATCCATTTAGTTTTTCTTTTGGCACCTACCATCTAATGCCTGCCATTTCACTGTCTCCAGAAGGAACCATGCCTGGTATAGCTCTGTAATTTTATGGTCTTCACACATTTCTTTCTTCTCAAGACTTTTCTTAAATAATTTACTTTCACTCAAAAAGTAAAAAAGAACATTCTCTTCGTCAGATAGCTATCATTGCAGGGGAAGGTAATTAAACGACTCAGTGGAGCTTCCTCTGGCTGTGATGTGACCCTCCTGCTCAAACATTCTCAATTTTCCATCTTCTGCATGAGTGGCTTGAGGCTGTCTACACACGATGCTTAGAGTCCTTCTTCACTCAGATCTAGGTGAGGCCTTCAGAACTGAATGCCTTCCGCACCTGTCCACCTTCTCACAGACACCATCTTCCGAAGCAGTCGGATCCTACCTGTCTTGGCTTTCTCAACACTTAGTTTCCATAGGAGATGGCCAGACAATCAGTCACTGGACGTACTGACTGCCAAAGCACCATTTCCACGGAAGATCAGTTCCCATTTTAATTTGCTTTGTAGTTGAGAAGTTGAGCCCAACTACAGAGATGTGAAATGGAAGGATGCATTCCCACCATACCTCACAGGTCTGTCAGTGGAGGAGAGGGCATCAAATGGAATCTGGGAATCCCAGGAAAAGAAAGCATTTGAGTCATAGCTGATAAGTTGTCTAGTACCATACTTTAAAATATTTTATTATTTTTGAGAATGTCATACTTGGAGAATGTGTATTTTAATAATATTCATCCCCCCCCCCCAGATCTGACCCCACCTCTCTATGCACCCAACTTTGTGTACAAGTTTTTAAATTAATTAAAAAAACACTAGGAACCCATCAGGTCTGATTTGTGTTGTCAAGCACTCTTTCTTGGGTGTGGGGCCTGCTCTAGAGCAGTCACCCCACTACAGGTCATATCCTCAAAGTAAACAGACTCTCCCTCTCTCGGCAGGCATCAGAGGCCAGAAGATCCTCACCACTCCGTGCTGGGGGTTTCATCTTTCATCTGCCTTGAGCTTGTTCAGGTCTTATGTGTATCATCACAGTTGCTGTGAGCTACTTCGTGTAACTGGCTGGTTCTGTCTGGAGAGCACCATTGCCCCATAGTCATCCACTGCCTCTGCCTCTTACTATTTTCTTACCCATCTCTGATACCATATTCTTAACTGAAAGAGGAAGAAAAAGAAACAGACATATGAAGGATCTGGAAAAGAACTTGGATGTGACTTTAATTCTTTTCTCCTGAAGTGGAGGGAGGTGAAGTGGGAGCTGGGCTGGGACTGAGGAGACTGACTCAGAAAACTTGCCCCAGTTGGAGGATGGGCTTTGCCAGTGTCTCTTGGCCGGAGCCAAGTATTGCACATTTGACAATTCCCAGGTGGCAGTCCTTTATCCTAATTTCTCCAGTCTTTTGTGGTCTGAGCTAATGACATTGGTTTCAGCAAGGATGCTTTGTGACAGGAAGCAGGATATAAGAAGTCCAAGGTCTGAGGGCTGCTGACCTCTCCTGACAAAGTTAGGAACTGGAGAACTTCCCAGGCTCCAGGCTGGGCTTTAGTCCTCCAGTGTGGAAGCCTCCCGCCATCCCAGCAAACTCTGCTGCAGCTTGCACGTGCCTCCCACATGGACATGACAGCTGAGGCGTTTACTGACCTTGCAAGCTGTAGCACGCAGCACTTCTCCACAGCTGTCTCAACCACACAGCCCAACCCCAGACGAACACAGTCTGGGAGCCTCCTCTCAGCTGTCTGTTCTGGGTCTGATATCCAACGGATCTCTGGTATCAAATGGATTGTCAGTACCAGAGCCTCGAAGCTCTCTCCCTGTTCAGTCATCTGTGGGGGTGGAAAGGTAGGACTCATTGGCTCACAGTGTCACATAGCTTCTCTTAGCAGGTGATTGCAGGAAATGCCCCATTCCACACCTGCAGGTCACCTTGAAGAGCTAGACTTCTTTTAACAAGGAACCAAGACTTTCACCCAGATGATTCAGGTTTTGAATTCATATTCCACTGAAGGAGTCTCACTCCAATTAGCCTGTACTATAGGCTGCATGACTGAGGCATTGAATTCTGTTCAGAAGTATCCGGTCACTGTTCATTTAGCCTTCTGGTCCTTAATGTGGTCACCCTGCTGGATTTAGCACCTACTGGAATACTGTCAGTGACAGGTGACAGAACGGAGAAATTTATTTACATAAAAGCTCAGTTGGAAATGAAATTCTAAGAGAAGAAAATAAATTTGAAGAGAAAAAAAGAATACAGAGTGGATGTGTTGCTGCTTGTGAGAAGGATATAGATTGTATATGTAACAAGTCTGTCAATAGAGCTCTTTCTCCAACTTCTTTCAGCCTGGAATTGAAAAACAAACAAACAAACAAACAAACAAACAAACAAACAAACAAACAAACAAACATGGCTTAGCTACTGAATATCTTGGACAGAGAAGGTAGTCTTACCTCTACAGGAGAGAAAGTGGAAGCGAATTTCATCTAGTGACTGGTCTCAAAATGTAGCCCTGGGACTGGAAAGATGGTTCAGTGGGTAGAGCTCTTACTATGCAAGCATTGAGGACCCGAGCACAGACCCCAGAACCTGTAGAAAAAGCCAAGTGTGCTTGCACATGCTTGGGACACCACTGCTGGGGGAGCAGGACACAGGAGGATCATTGAGGCTTGCTGGCTGACAGCCAGCTCCATACTCAGTAAAGAGACCCAAGGGAATAAGGTGGAGAGCAATAGAGCAGGACACACACATGCTAACACATACATAGACACACACACACACACACACACACACACACACCACCACCACCACAGGGCCACTGCAGTGATTGGCGATCAGTGGTTGAAAAAGGACGTCGAAAGGGTCACGTGAGAAACTATGTAAAGCTTAAGGTGGACCTCAAAGTGGCCCTTTCCCAAAGACCTGAATAGCCCTCCTGTTTAGTTAGAGCTTAGAAGAAGGACACCAACATTGTTACAGACAGCCTCACCCTAGACCACCTGCCACTCCCTCCCTCCACTGTGGTTCCAGGCACCACATCTTTATTTGTGTCATTGTAGGAGGTCAGGGCTGACGATCAAACCATAGGGACGTCTTGTATCTTAATACTTGGAATTTCAGTATGGGCTTGTGGTACAAGTTCCCCCAGGAGAACCTTAGGAGCAGATGAGACTGATGATGTAGGTCTGGGTTCTGCTGGGGAGGAACTTGAACGCCATTCCAAGAAAGCTCATGACCATCTGGGGAGCTTGGTCTGTCCTAAGGACACAACTCAACCTCTAAACCGCAATCAGTGTGTACTTAATGGGAGGTCCGAGTGGCTGGTGCCTCCCGTGAGGGATGTTGCTTGATTAAAGAGGCAGGTGCCCTGCTCTCCTGCAGCTGGGAGTCAAGAAGGAATTTGAGCGTGTCTGACCCCAAAGAATACAGAACCAGAAAGCCAGGACCCTTAGTTAGGAGAGTCCTGACCATTCATCAAGATGTATCTTGGCCAAGTTCATGCAGCCAACTCCAGCGCCAAGCCAGGCCAAGATGGCAGTGGGGTGGACAGGGGAGTCACACCAAAGCGGGGGAGGGTGCAGCAGTCTCGGACAGTGTATTTTAATTGTTACGTGTAAGGGATACCTTTCCCTAAGACTTTTCCCGGGCCTGCTTGGGCTGGATGCATAGCGTGAGTGGGAAGGCGCGCCCCTGTGGCTTCTGAGGCTCATCTACTTGAGCAGAAGAAAGGGATCAGGCGCCTCCTCCGCCCCCACCCCTTCCAGGGCACAGGGCTGTCCCAAGGTTTTCCTGGTCTCTCAGGGCTGGGGGTTACTTGGGACAAGGCTCCTGACTAGCACAGCTGGGGACGCTGGAGGGTCCCCTTAGAGTCCCGGCAGCAAGCCTCGCCGATCCACCGCGGCCCTTCCATTTCCGCTGTGCTGGCAGCGCCCTGTTCGATTCAGAGAGTCTTGCGCAGGGTAGGGCGAGGGGAACCGCAACTCCCTTTGCGGGTCCAGGTGGAGCAGGCGGCAAGCAGCCGTGGAGCCCTGGCAGGCGCGGGCGGGTGGGCATCCTCCTCTGCGCACACCCCGCGCGATTTCTGGGGACCCAGTGGCCCCAGACACTGGCAGCTGGCAGTGAGGTGCTCCTCGCTCGGTCCGGGTGCGTTCAGCGTCACACAGGCGCTGCTCCGCTGGGTCACCGGACGCCTTTTCCGCTTGCTGGGGATCCGCGGGACGAGCGAGCGAGCCAAAGCCATCTGAACGCGGAGCTCCTATAAATAGCGCGCGGGTGCCCTCTCGGAGCTGTCCCTCCCGGCTGCACTGCGCGCCGAGACACAAAGTTGTGCGCAGGGACGCGGGAACCCAGGGTAGTCTGCGCCTGCACCTTAGGACTGCTTTGGGCGAGGGGCGCTCAGTTGAGTCACCTACCTGCGTCGGAGTGACACCGGGCTTTGGGGGAATTTTTGGCCAAGCGCAAGCGGGAATCGCTAGAATCCTGGCCATGAACACAACCTGGCGTTTTTCTCATCTCCGGAAACACCTCCTGCCTCTGTAATTTGTTCCTGCGCCAGCCAGAGTCCCTTGGACAGGACCGACACCAGCACCTGCCACCCTGGCGTTTACTAGCTGAGTCTCCTCTGTGTCTTCGGCTCCGTACTTCTTCGCCTGGGAATACTTGGGTTTGGGGTGAGAATTTATTTTATTCCTTTGACTCGTGACAGCGAGCGTCAGCAGACTTTTTAGATGTCAATGGACAAGTGTGGGTTCAGTGGCCCTAGGCAAAACTGATTTTGGGGTGGAGGAGGTTAGGGTCGGGAGTTCTGCATGAGCTCCTTAAAGGACAAAGGTAGCAGAGCCAGCCAGCCAGCTCGAAGGGAGACTTCAGCCCAGAGAATTGGTGGAAGTGCGCGCGCCGCCGCCGCCGCCGCCGCTCCTGCAGCATTGTCGATCTAGCCACTGGCATCTTCCCGAGCTCCGGGATCCCGGCGTAGCAGGCGCCGCCCGGGAGCAGAAGCGCCTGGCTGCCGCTAGCGCACGCGGCTCTCACCATGGGCTCCGCGCGCCGGGAGCTGTCCGTGGTACCGGCTGTTCTGCTGATTCTCGCGCTGCCGCTGCCTGTCTGGGCACAGAATGACACCGAACCAATCGTGCTGGAGGGCAAGTGTCTGGTGGTGTGCGACTCGAACCCAGCCACAGACTCGAAGGGATCATCTTCTTCCCCTTTGGGGATATCAGTCCGGGCAGCAAACTCCAAGGTGGCCTTTTCGGCGGTTCGGAGCACCAACCACGAGCCATCTGAGATGAGCAACAAGACACGCATCATTTACTTTGATCAGGTCAGACCCCGAGGGATGAAGGGCGCCCAGGGGATGGGTGGTCTCTGGATATCGGGGGCTGCCTGCTTAGATTAAGTTAGTATGATTAGGATGTAGCAAGATCATTTAAGCGATCACCTCCCTGAAGATACCGGTCTAAAACTTGAGCTGCCTCCTTTCCCCAACAACGGGAGCCCTCCTTCCCCTTTGGTCTCTGGCAGAGGCCTGCGTGGTGGGATGGTTTGGGAGCGCAGAGGCAGGCATCTGGAGAGCAAGACAAGTTTAACAGCAACAGGTCACCAGGGGATGAAGGGAATACGATCCTTGGATGCTGGGATCTACTGGTAGAGAGCTTGGCCCTCTGGCTCACACTTATCTCAGGTGCCCTGGAGGGGTTCCTGAGGGGGGCCCTAGAAGACAACCTGAAAATGTTTAACTTGCGTTTCCAGGTGGAGGCTCATCTCTCCAGAGAGCTTTGGCGCTCCACAAGGGGCAGGGACCCTGCCAGGTAGATCCAGAGAATTAGGGGTGGAGTTCTGGGGTCAGATAGTACCTCCAGAGCTCTAGCTAGGGTTGCCCTGCAGGGTCCACGGTGGCTGGATGATCACCCTGTCTGGTATATACTAAAATCCCTTCTCACTACTACTCTACTCAGAAAAAGTTGTCCAGGCAGGAGGAAAGGGGATTGAGTTATTTCACAGAGCATGGGTAGGTAAGCGATGGGGAGCTGGGTTTCCCCTCCCTGGGTTCTGTTAGGTTCCTCCAGGGCATTGTGAATTGCTGAGGAAGCACAGATTTTGAGGTTGCAGCGAGGGGTTGGGGATGACTTGATGAAAGCTGCAGTTTCTGCTGCGTAGTTCAGTGCTCCGTGGACTGGAGTGTCAGGCAACTCCAGGTATTCACTTAGCAAAGCCCCCAGGGCAGAAGCCAGACTCCAGCATTTTGGTTCCAACCCCAACAGTACCTGGAGTCTGTCTAATTCCAAAGTCACAGTTCACAGTTGCATGCAGAGCCCAGAGGGCAGGTTAAGTGGGGCTGTGGGATGTGCCAGGAAAGACTCAGGTGACATTTGTGCTCCTCATTTAATTTTAAGTAATATACTCGCCAGCTGGTTAGGGACAGAGATGTCTCCCTAGAGGCTTAGTACGGGATAGCTATAAATTTAAAAAATGAATTAAGTCATCCCTTTGGCGCTTTTGGTGCAATATTTAACAAAGTGATGGGAAAAAAGCTTAGCACCACCACGGTTTGGGTTTCAGTGCATTATCTAAATGTTGGAAGCCTGTGAACATTGTTCTGTCTTTGCTGGGGCATTCTTTTCAAAGACCTTTCCATTAATTATAATAGGAAAGGGGTTTTTCTTTTGTTCAGGGAGCCCTGCATCTTAGAGACAACAAGACACATTTACTTATAAATCTCGGTGTGCTGGGATGCTTCCATTACTCCATGGGGTCCACCTCCAGCTTTGTATTTATTAACCAACACTAATCAGGCACCCCTATTTTGTTAATGAGGGATGCCTCTTGTATCTGAATCAGGAAGTCTTGGCTCAGCCCCTTACATTATTCTAATGTGCTTGGGAAAGATGTTTTTGTAAAGGTGTTGTCAGGGAATCTTTCTTACACAGCTGGGCGCTGGTGCTGTGGTAAGTCCATCTGATCTCAGGTCAGAGAACAGAGAACTTACGGAAGGGAGCTGGGATCTCAGTAAAACTGCACACAGGTTTGTATTTCAAAGCAGAGCTGAGCCTGGTACATTTTCCTATGTGTTCTGACATTCTGGTGTGCTGTGAAGAGGCATAGCACACTTTGAGGAAATGATGCAGGAAGTGTGAAATGTATTAATCTTGACAAGAAGATTATGTTTAAGACAGATAACAGCAGACTGACTCTGATAAACAGAAAATATATCTTTACAGACGCATCTGATTTTTATGGATTTGTTTCTTGGTAAGACATGAAAGAAAGCCTCTTTGTTTTGTCGGGGCTCTTACACTCTCCCTGGAAGGGACTTACCTCTGAGACACTGAAATTTAACTGAGGATGCACTGAAATCCAGAGTTAACATCATAACCGGGCCACACATCTTGGGATGCAAGGTGCATTGTGGCTTTCTTGGAAGCAGTGCTTAACTACACTTTCACTTTTGACCCTTGAACTTCAAATGGATTTGAGGTGACTGCTAGGAGGATAAAACAAGACACTGAAGAATACAGAAAGGCCACCTAGTTTACTGTCTGCGATATTCTTGCTCTTCTCTTGGCATTCAGCCAGGGCTGACTCATCACTGATGTATTATGTTAAGGCTTAGATGGTACATAAACAAAAAAGATTGGCCATGGGTCTGAGGAGAGCCCCTGCAGAGGCTTAAGGAAGAAGCTGGCTTTCCCATCTCTATGGTACTGACTGTGAGTGTCATGGGTTATGCCCCATGGTGGAGGGGGTATCATGTCTCTGTGAGGTGTCCAGGGATTACTGCAGAGAGCCCATGGATGTCGATTGGCTGGCTGAGCAGCGTCACTGCTGGACACTGGGAAGGCTTATAGACTGTGCAGATGTGACTGCACGGCAGATGCCCTCCATCTGGTCCTCAGTGTAAAGCACTACACACTACAAGCCTTCACATGTTACCTTGATGAACCCAGAGACAGCATGCCTGGAAATTGAGGCATGAATACACAGTTGCTTTATTATTTTTTCTTGTACTACTTAAAAAGTAGAAGAACCTTCTATTATGTACATCTGTTTTTCAAGTCACTTAATAGGAAAGGAAAAGCATTCGCTGTTTTATTCTCTATTGTTTCTGAAGTTAGTTACTAAAAAAAAAGAAGAGAAAAGAAAGATATAAAGGAAAGACAGAAAGGAGGGAAGGATGGAGGAAGAAAAGAATACAGGAAAGGGGAGGGAAGGAAAGAGGAAGGGGAGGAAGAGGGAATTTATTTTACTCATGGAAGAAAACTATAATAATTTATCATTATTTGTTGTTTTTATCTGTAGATCCTGGTTAACGTGGGTAATTTTTTCACTTTGGAGTCTGTCTTTGTGGCACCGAGGAAAGGAATCTATAGTTTCAGTTTTCACGTAATTAAAGTCTACCAGAGCCAAACAATCCAGGTATGTGCTTTGACCTGTTGGCTCTCTACTCCAATATTAAGTATTCATTCAAAGATGTACTTGCATTGTAAAGTTAGTCGTCTACCTTTTTGCTTGTTTGTTTGTTTTCAAAACATTTAATTTGCATTTTTTCATTATAACATCCATTTGGGTATATGACAAAAGGCATACAGAAAACTAAGCAATTCAAGTTATTACCCTGATTATAGCCCAATATAAGACAAAATAGGACAACAAAACAATAAAGCACAGCTTGGGAAAAGTTTCATAACACAAGTGTCTACAGAAATTGATTTTTATCTCATGCCTGAACAAAAGGTATTCAAATATATAAGGAAAAAAAACCCAACTCTTACAAAATTTTATAAGTGAACGTTAAATAAACAAAACAAGTTTGTTAATCATTTAAAAATAATGAGATGCATTTAACTACTGAAACAACAACAAAAAGCACAGCTTGGCAAAATTCCTGATACAGAACTCTACAGAAGATCTTGACTTTATCTCATACCTGAACAAAAGTTATTCAAACTTACAAGGAGAAAAGTCTTATAAAACTTCACAAATGGATGTTAAATAAACAAAAGAAGTTTGCTGCCAGTTAAAAATTGTGAAGTAAAATTGAAACAAAGCTACCAGGGAAAGGCTACTTATGATACTCCTGAGAAAGGATGTGGTGAGTTCATCATGATGTAGTTTATTTTTGGGTACTCTGGTTCTAGTAAGTTCCTCCCAGTTGTAGTTTCATCGTTAGTGACATGTCTTATGTTGTGCTTGCTCAGACCAGCTTGATTACACTCTAAAGCAGAGAGAGATATTTATTGCAGTATTAAAATATATCAATACTAAACAATACACTGCATGTCTGTGGAATTCTAGAGTATGTTATATTGAATGCTTAGCATTTATATTTTATGTCTCCATGATTAATCGATGGCATGATCATGTGTCACATTTTTTTATATCCAATTGGCCAGGATTAGATCTAATCTGTTCCATATTAATATTAACCTAGAGAAAGGGAATATTTAGTGAACACATCCACTTCTCTGGAAACTCTGACATTTCAAATAACTTTTGTTGCTGCGCTAGTTCCAGAAACGGAGATGCCTACGCAGACACTGGCGGAATCTAGCCATGTCCGACTTTGTCAGGTCCCAACACTGGGAAGCCAGTGGACAATAAATCGAACAACTTTATTACCAAGAAGCTGAGTACATGAGGCTAGTACAGTAGTTAGCTTTGTTTACACACTGAAGGAAAGCCAGTTTTCACAAGCCTTGGTGGCTCTCCGGGTGGCATTATTTTTGTAGGTATTTAAGGAAATTTCTGTAGGAACACACACATTAAATCTGACCCCACATATGTCCAGCGTGAAGGGAGACTATTCCCCAAGTAGCAAATGTTTGACCAGGTCAGCCATCTTAGACTATTTCCTACCACACATTTTGATCTTAAAGGGAGCCTTTTGGTGGTGATATTTACCCTTCCAGGTTAACTTGATGTTAAACGGAAAACCAGTCATCTCTGCATTTGCTGGGGATAAGGACGTGACCCGCGAAGCTGCCACTAATGGAGTGCTACTCTATCTGGACAAGGAAGATAAGGTCTACCTAAAACTGGAGAAAGGTAACTTGCTTGGTGGCTGGCAGTATTCCACGTTTTCTGGCTTCCTGGTGTTTCCTCTATAGAAGCTGACTTCTCCGTGACGCCCGCCCATGAGTGAGGGCTCCCACCCCCCGATAATCGGAAGAACTGCTCTCACCCTTGGATTGATGTCTCTTATTGTTTAGTTTATGGGTGACTATGGATTCTCTTTGAGGTTTCTAGACCTGTCTGGACAAACACAAAGTTTCACAGGTTATTTTCGTGTGTGCCAGTTTCCTTATATGTGGATCGGGACTCCAAAGCGGAAAATCCCTAAATCTGCTTACATGTTAACGGCCACAGCCATTGTTCTGTTTAGTTTCCTGCTATTGCTATATTGGTTGCAGATGTGGGGTTTCTTTGTTTCTGAAAGGCTGGCTAGTGGGTCCGAGAGTTAGAAAACTTGGAAGTTCTGACTTTAGTGGTTACTGTGGGACTGCCAAAGACGTGTAAACACATGTGGATACGTTGATTATGCTTTTTTTTTTAAAAAATTATAATTACTTTGGAATTAGTTTTTTTTTGTTTTGTTTTGTTTGTTTTCTTAAGATATCTGGGATTGTATTTTAGTGACTGGCCTTGTGTTTTCTCTGCCCATAAGGTAACAAATGTCTTGCCTCAAATGTCCCTTAACTCTGAGCTCACCCACATGACCCCCCTCCTGCCCCGTAAAATGAATGCTCCATAGTTGTATTTTAATTATATATGTGAAAGAGTCATATTTTCCAAATTCTATTTTCTAATAGGAAAAATAGATCATAATCAGACAAAGAAAAAGTTACTTACCCCAATTTTAAGCGTTCAGTCCCAAACCTTGGCAAAATAGCCCTCCTTGGTGGAAAATCTTATACTTTATTGCTCAATTTTAATTAACGTGATTGATAATAACCACTTTATTAAAACCATAAGGGATTATTTTCCCTTCACCATGACCACTTAATTAAGTGGAGATGGTATGCCCTTGTTTTTAATTATATCTATTTTTCAAATCTCCTGTTATGTTTGAAATATCATCTGGTTTTGCCTTAATTCCTTAACTTGTATATATTTATCTGTTCAGCTAATATTAAATCCAGATACTCCATAACAAAATTTAGTGAATATCTTATTTTGTCTTTTGTATAGGTCATATGAATTCATAAAATTATTTATGTCTGTTACAGAATAAAGATTATTATATGTTAGTGGAATGGTTGGTTTGGTCCTTTCGGTGCTGAGAATGTGTCTTTTAAGTAGTTTATCCATCCCTCCATTATCCCCTCCCTTCATGCATCTTCCTTTTCTTCCTCCTCCCATTTTCCCCTTCCTTCTTTTCCCCTTGTTTCTTTTTTCCTGGAGTTAAAAAAAAGCCTTCCTGAGTTTTCAGGTAATGTCCCTTGAGTTGGTATAGGAAATCTTTACTGTATTTAATCTGTCCAAATCCAGGAGCTGCAAGCTTGCCAAAGAGGAATCAATGAATTTAGCAAAGTCTTTCTTCACAAGGACTTGTGAGGAAAATGGAGTTAAAAAGATCTCTTGAAATATCGCAAGGTTGCTCCATGTATGAGTGTGTGCTGCCAGTATCAAGGCTGGCGTCTCCAACCAGAGGACTCCAGCAAAAGGTTCTGCCTGCTCTCAGCATTCCTCTTCGAAGGGAGAGACAATATTTCTATAACCATGTATGGTGGTGGTGGTTCCATTTCCAGGTCTGTGGCCCTGTTTGGGGGTAAGGGTCCTCTTGTAGGTAGAGCCACAAGGAACTTGTTAGAAGAGACCCACATAAGCACAGCTTCCAGAGAGTCTGTGATTAATCTCCATGTTAGGAGGTTCAGTGAGCTCTAGGAAGACTCCGCTCTTTCCTGGAAAGAACTCCCTGCAGATTCTGGCAATAATCCCTGATGCAGGTTGTCGCCTGTTGGCTTTCAGTTAACAGCCCTCAGTATTGCACAGAGAGACAGCAAAGGTGGCGAAACTTCACAGAGCAATGGGACCCTCTAACCATGCACCAATTCTACCTAGCGGCTACCTCCACCTACTATGCAAACTGGGTATGCATCTGGAAATCACAGCAGGAGAATCATAAGTAAATACACCTGCTAGCTATTGTTTTGGCAACATGAGTTAAGGGTATTGAAATGACCTATGGCAGGATGACAAGAGTTAGGCTATTATCAAAATAGGTCAGTGTACCAATGCATTTCACAAATGGACTTGTAGCCATCTTTGGGGGCTCATCCTTATCTTTCTCCATTTTTCTGAACATAAACACACCTTGGTGAAGGTCTGAGCTTCAGTTTCTAATTTCTAACATATGCGTCTTGGGATGCAGAATCCATTGTGTATTAGGGGAAGACCTGAGACTGTGGCTATCAGCTGAAGATGTCTGTGATGCCCAAGCGAAGAGCTATGGAGGCTCAACTCAACTGGGTTCTAGATGGTTGAGAGCTACCACAAACACACTGTCCAGAGAATAAAAATGGAGAGAGAGAGAGAGAGAGAGAGAGAGAGAGAGAGAGAGAGGAGAGGCAGTTCGATTTAGTAAAAAAGCATGGATTTGGGCAGACACAGGATTTAGTCCTTTATTTGCTGTCCCTGTGACTCTGACAGATTTTGGCGTTAGTTACTTTATTTGCAAAGAAGAAGTAGTCGGCTGCACAGATTCAATAATCTTTGTGCTTGGGCCACAGTGGGAGCTGGAATCTTGAGTCTGATCACTGAATCTTGTGATCTCCATCATTTAAGGCCCTGAGGTGGGCAGAGCAGGAAGAGGGAATGAGGAGAATCTAAAGACTGGCACAGGATGGGGGAGGGTTGAGTTGGGATGGAACGTGATGAAGAACAGATGTGGTGTCACAGATATTTCAACAAATGGCATCAGGTGTTCTCTGCCTATTCTCTAATTTGACAAATTGTTTTCAGAAATCGATGTGTGCCAAGAGTGCACACTACTCAGGCCCTGTGTTTGCTTTGGCCCTCACGACTCCACAGTGTCTCTAGCCATTGTCTGCAGCCAGCAGTTTCCTCCTGAAAGAAACTCATGGAAACCAAGCTGAAGGAAGCAGGAGCCAGGCAGGGAGTCTGCCTGATTCCAGGAGCTGTAGGGGAGCTGCCCACGGTCCTGGTTAGACTTCACTGATCTAATTACATTTAAAAATTTTTAATTTATTATTATCACTGAGTTATGTTTGCTCTCCTCGTCCCTTTGATTTTTAGTTATTCTTTCTTGTATTCTTTTAGTCTCTAGCCTCTACTTCTTAAAGAAAACTGTGTCTACAAGTTTTTTTTTTTCTGTGTGTACATGTTTGTCGTGTGTATACCTGTATGTACAGATGTTTGGAGGCCAGAGGTTCACATCAGGTGTCTTCTTTGATTGCTCTGATTTTATTTGAAACAGGGTTTCCCACTGAACCTGGAGACCACCAGGTGGCTAGCCCAGCTGTCCACCGAGCCCCAGTGAGCTTCCTGGCTCTAGCTCCCTGCACTGGGGTTATAGAAGCATGTTGTGGCACCTGTCTTTCACCCTGGGTGCTGGGGATCTGGACTCATATCATCTTGTTTATGTGGTCTATACTTTCCCCACTGAGCCATCTCCCCAGGCCCCAGTTTTATTTTTGAAACAAAGGTTGTCAATTAACACAGGTGGCATCATTCTCGTAACGGGTTTTGGGCTGCAAGATGCCAAGGTTGTAGCATGAGTGACATCTCCCACTTCCTGCTTTGCTGTTTGCTCTAATCACCAACCAAGCAAGATTTGACCCCTGAAGCAGGAGCAGTCTGTAGGTGTGGTCCCACATGGTCCCACATTGCATTCCCACTGAGGGTCCTAAGCTTTATTGTCCACCTGTACTGTATAAGCCACCTGTCTCTTGAGCATCAGTATCAGCTGAGCTTAGCAAGCCCCCATAATTGTTGACCTGGTGGTCACAAGTGTTGAGAACATAGAGGTCCATGGCCATTGGTGGCCATTGTGTGACCTCACACAAAGCCTTGGTACAGTTCTGGCTTCTGGTGTCTTTCTGGTAGAGGAGGAGGGGGGAGGATTGAAGAAGTTGGCTTCTAACTAGGTTGGTTTTATTCTCTTCCTAATGCTGATCAGCTTTTAGTGTGGCTTTCTTTCAACATTAAAGTTGCATGCATGTGTGTGGGGCACCCCAACCCATCCTGCTACCCCCAGTCCTGTGACCTTGACCCTAAACTCTTCTGTCAGCCTTTCAAACTAACATGCTAACACACGTAAGACTCACCTGGGGACTTGGCTCAGATGCTGACCTTGATGGGGGCAAATCTGGGAGGGGCTTGTATGCTTCTACATCACTAAGAGCTACCCACTGCATCCTCAGCTGCTGACTTGGGTGCTACAGAAGAGAGGACTTCCATTATCACTGCTATAGCCTGGTTACTCACCGCGCATGCTACGTACTATAGCACCTACAGGCTCCGGGGCTTGTTAGAACCCTGCCGGAGCCAAGACTCACCCCAGGCCTACCCAGTTCACAACTGCATTTTAATAAGGGGATTTTTAAAGATTTATTTATTTTATGTGAATGGGTATCTGCATGTAGGTCTGTGCACCATGTGTGTACAGAGCACTTGGAGGTCAGAAGAGGGCGTCAGACCCCCTGGCACTGTAATTACAGATAGTGTTGGGAACTGAACCCGGATCCTCTAGAATAAGCAGCCAGTGCTCTTAACAGCTGATCTATCTCTCTAGCCCCATGTGAGGAGTTTTAAGCACCGCTGAGTTCTCGAAGCCCGGTGTTTAAGGGAGACTGCTTGCTTTGGGACCACACAGGACATCCAGCATCACAGTCTGACAAAGTCTACAGCAAGTCCGTACAGGTACAAGAACAAAGGCATGCGAGTCTACCCGTGAGTAACCTTTGCTAGCAGTGGTGCTCCCCCAGGCCCAGGTCTGGCACCTTGTTCTGTGAGGGGGACGAGAGCCAGGAAACCACCTGGAACACTCCAAGCAAGGCTTGCAGGACGGCTCTTCATAGAGGAAAGAGGCTGGACCACTGGCCTGAAGACACAGGTGAGTAAGCCACCCACAGTCCAGTGGCATCCTGGGATGAAAGAAAGCCCAGAGGAGCCTTCCTTGGCACCGGCCTCTGTTATGAAGCACAGAGGGAATTACAGCTCGCTTTCCTCTGTAAACAAAGTGCTCCCCTCTTGGGGCGGCGGTGTCTCCGTATAAGGATAAGTATTTCTCTCCTGCCTGTCTCTACTGTTTCTCTGTTTGTCATGTTTAAGCTTTGCTGTCAAAGCATAATCAATAACAGACAGAAAACACAGGGAAATTGGTAGGGAGTAGGCAACTCTATTTCCTCATTCTTGTTTGTTTGTCTGTTTCTTCTCTTCATGACAAGTATTAAAAGTAAGTGGCTTGACTGACCAGTCTGCCCAGGAAGTCGTTTCATAGTTTTCTTTCATAGCTTTCTAGGGAAAAGGAGAATGAAACCCAGGAAACAGCGGTAGGGCCAGCCTTGAGATGGGAGCGCAGGGAGAACCATTACGAGCAGTTAACTAACAAGGTAGGAATTACTGCCCAGCCATAGGACAGCACTTGGCATTACTGTGTCACTATAGTGGCCAGGAGGGCTGCTGCCACTGGCCAAGCAGTTGAAGGCTTGACATTACAATGGGTTTGCCAGTCAGAACATATCTCCAGGCTTCAAGTTACACAAAAGACCCTGTGTGCAAGGGAGCATGTGTCGGGTGGGAGGGGAGTTGTGGGGGAGTTATAGATGTGCTGGGTATGTATGGATGCATGCATATGTGTTTCTGTGAGGGGATGTGGGTGCATACGGAGGGTGCGCATGGATGTATATGCATTTCTATGTGAAGGCCAGTGGTGAATTTCCAACGTCAGTTCTCAGTTGCCATCCGCCTTGTCGTTTGAGACAGGGCCTCTCTACATAGCCCTGTCTGTCCTGGAACTCACTGTGTAGACCACGAAGGGCTCAGACTCACAGAGATCCAGTTGCTCTGCCTCCCGAGCACCTGTCTTAAAGGTGTGTGTGCCACACCCAGCAAAATGTGTTGCCCAGGCTAGCCTCAAACTTGTCGATCCTCCTGCTTCTACCTTCTTCAGCGAATCCTATGGCCGCATGTCACCACAATCAGCTGGTTTGTTTTTGAGATGGAGTCTCTCAATGGGATTCT